TTCTTCTGCAGGCTAGCGTTGGACTGGATGACCTGAAAGCATCATAATGGGCTGCTGAAGTTAAAATTTGCAGTTCTTCGTTTCCTCCTCTGTGGTTCTTGACTTTTTGAGTTCCGGTCACACTCAAATGAGAAACAATGCAAAATTATATTCTGGCTTGTAATGTTTTCTTATTATTAGACTATATATGCATCAAATCTGTTGTGTTAAATATGAGCAAGGGAAGTCTATTGCTTGATTGGGGGTCTATCGAGGGTCAAATATATTGAACTAGGGGTAATCCGTGCACAATACAATTTGAATAATTTTGAAAAGGACGTTAGTGACCGTTGGATAAGTTTATTTTTTTAGACCATCGAATGAGTTTATTGAAATTTATTCTGTTTTATATTATAGAATTTATTCTATTTTCTCAAAAACTATTTTTTTGAAAACTATTTTTGTGATTCAAATTCATGATGCTCAATTAGTCAAAAGCTAACAAAAGTCTTATGATTTAAGTATTAAAAAAAATCAATTACTCCAACTACTGCTTAAGTGTGAATGGGAACTGCCCATGGCTTGTGGATGATGTCGACTTTAGTATACCAAGTAGGGCTCCACAGAAGAGTCCAAAAAAGTATGGGATTTAGGCTCCACGTATAAAAAAGGCCAAAAAAGTTCAATAATAAAGTATAGATTAAATATTAAAATATAATATAATTTAGTTTAACAAAAAAAATTCTTGAAAGATTACATCAAAAAATATAATTTAAAATTTAAGTTCAAAAGTGCAGTCCATCTCATTTATATACATTCATTAAAGGACAAAAAAGGTTAACACTTTGATAAAAAAAAGTATAATAAGTATATCTCTTTTAAAAAAATATCATTCATTAAACGTAATTTTGTTTTTATTTAAATATAAAAATACCAATTAATTAAATTGTACATTCTCATAAAGGATCCACAATAAAAACTAGTTAATATAAAAAAAATTCAATAATATTTAATATATATTAGATGCCTAAATTAGTAAAAAAAAAATAATATGTGACACTACATTGTAATATTGAACATTTTTATTGTAATAGTACCTCATATCGATCAATGAAAAAATGTATAAAATATAAAATAATACATATATTACTTTTAATCTTTGTGCATCATCTAGTAATCAATTTGTCTCACTTAATCAGTTTTATGGACGAAGTTTTAATAATGAGGGAAGAGTAAATACTACAATTGTTGCGAGATACACAAATACTTCAATTTTTTAAATAAGAGGACGCATAGCAGGGGCTCGACCATTAAAATAATTGCCTAGAGCCTAAAAAATTTAGAGATCCAATTTAATTTTTAGCATTTTATTTATTTTTAAGTTCTGAGCCCCTTTTAAAAGGTCAAAGTTAAAGGTCAAATATATTTCACAAGTTAAAGTTAAATTCTTTCATTAATTTTTCTTTCACTCTCACCGCTTCTCTCCAACCCTTTCTCTCTCTTTTAGTCTCATTATCTTGCTCTAGTTTTTTGTTTTTATCTTTAGCTATATTATTATTTTTTTAAAATTTTATTTAATTTATTCATCTATAAGATCTTGATTTCACAATTACACCTTATTTATTGTTTGATCATGGTCAATCTCAAAACCACTAAAACTTTAAAAATAAATCATATAATAAATTTTTGAAAAATATTTTCTCGTTTTAGGCTTCAATTTATATTGGGCCACCTTTGTAGTGTATCTCTTTTTATTTATTTAAAACAAATCATATAATATTCTATAAATTGCAAAAAAAAAAGGGGAGGTTTGTGATGATAAAGATTTTCTACTAGACCCTTAACGGTCGTTGTGGTCGGATATGATTATCCTTGTGTCAGATAATCCGCTTTCTTATTGAGCAGCCCTTCGATCATTTTGACAACACTTGGTTAAAATTTCCTATAATTAGTATATTTGTTTTATTAATTAATAAAAAACTAATTTTATTTTCACACCTAAATTTTCGATCCGCGTCTGGTTTGGATTAGTGGGTGTTAAGAACAAACAATCCACTGCCATTGAATCTATTTGAGAAGATTGGCTTTAAACACCATTTTGCTTGGGGTTAGTGCCTCCTTTTTTTTCCTCGTCGTTGAGATTGCCTCTTACAATACTCAGGAGGAACAAACTAAATAGTTATATCCAATCTTAAAGAAGATTTCTCTACACCCTCCAAATTCAAACACAACTAACTCGTGATGCTTAAGTCACAATATTTGAATATCGAACAACATGGTCTATGAATGCATGTCGTTGCGTTGATTTTTCTGCAAAAGGTTTGATTTCATTTTTCATACAAGTTTTTTTTTTTTTTTTTTGAGTAAATATTTTTCATACATGTTTATTGCCTGAAGGGAAGAAAAAATGGTTAATCTTCATTGTTTATGGTTTGTTTCAGATCTGAATATCAAATATCAGCAATTGGACGAAAAACTTATAACATAGAGAAAATATATTAATCACAAAAGATGGGCACAAGGATGAAGGGCATCTTAAAAGGTTTAAGATACATATCTCAAATCTTTGGTGAGTAAATCTCTTTTAATTGTTCAACTGTGTCAATATGAGACATAATTTTTTTTTTCTTGTAAAAATGTTTTTTAAATTTATTTTTTTTGGTGCATATGAAAAGAAACAGGGTTATTTAAACCTTCTAGCAAAAGATACACATGACAGGTCGTTCAAAAGAAATTGTCCCAACACAGGCGATGGGACATCAAAAAGAACAAAAGAATCCTGTTGCAGCTCTTCCAAGCTTGCTATTTTATCAGTGCAGAAATTTTCTTCCTTCAGTGTATGAATGATGAGAGTGTTAGTCAATCTCATTATATGTTTGCAATTTGTAATTTGCAATGATATTCCTTTTGGGGTGGAGTTCCTCCAACCTAGCAGAGATTAGGTTGAGGGCATCCAAGGAGTCTGTTTCCATGATCACATTCTTTAGGTTTTGAGTTTGTATAATCTTGAGGCCTTGATAGATTGCCCATAGTTCTGTTTGTAGGCAATTGGAATCCTTTAGCTTCCCATAGAAACCTAGCTGCCACCTTCCCTGATCATTCCTTAACAGTCCTCCAAATGCAGCTGAGCCAGGGTTCCTTTTAGAGCTACCATCTACATTCATTTTCAACCATCCTGTAGGAGGGAAAGACCAACCAATTAGTTGGGGGGGGGGGGGGGGTTAGGAGTCACCTGTGAGTGGGGTTCATTGAAAGCATTCCATGAGTTCCATGGCAATCTCCAAACTTTCTTAGCAATAAAAGGGGGAGGGTTGATTATATTTCCCAAACATTCTTGATTCCTATCTTTCTAGATGTTCCATATCAAAGATACAAAGAGGATAGGCCATTTCACACCTCTCCAAAAAATGTCCTTTCTAGCATTATAGTTCTTAATGAGCCAACTTTGGAGGTCCATAGATTGATCTAGTTGGAGATCATTCCTATTTAGAAATGATCTCCAAACCAGATTAGCTTTCGGACAGTCTCTTAAGATGTGGATAGTACTTTCGTACTAGGCCTTGCACCTTTCACAAGAAGGATCATTTGTGAGATTTCTTGTGAACCTCGAGGCGTTTGAAAGGAGTCTGTCACTTTGGACCAACCAAAGAAAACGTTTAAGTTTCTGAGGGACCCTTAGTTTCCAAATTCAATTCCAGTTCAAGTCACAGTGCTGCCTTGGAATAGGATTAGAAATCTAATTATAAGTAGATTTAATGGAGAATTTTCCATTACTTGTGAGACCCCAAGATGGTGAGTCATGATGGGAGCCTTCCAAAGGTAGTGGTGTGTGCAAGAGATCAGAGATTAAAGAGGGGGGAAGGTACATACCAACTTTTTGAATGTTCCAGTTACCCATGGGACTTATAATCTCAGTCACTGTGCTGTTCCGGTTAGCCGAGGATGGAACCTGCATCCTTCTTTGGAGTGGACTATCAACTGTCCACCAGTCATTCCATAAAGACACTTTTGAACCATTACCAATAAGCCATTTTGTATTATCTTTCACAATTTGATTGGTTTTCAACAAGGCTCTCCATATTATGGATGAATTAGGCTTACGTGGCCAATCATTTAGGGATGGGTTCGTGTACTTATTTTTGACCACTTCCACCCAAAGGGACTTACTCTCAGAATGTAATTTCCAACCCAGTTTAGATAGAACAGCTAAGTTGTTATCTCTACATTTTCTCAATCCTAATCCCCCAATCTCCTTAGGAGAACAGACAGTATCCTAATTTATTAAGTGAACCTTTTTCCTCTCCTCTGAATCTCCCCAAAGGAAATTTCTATTAAGTCTATCAACTTTCTCACAGGTGGACTGAGGTAGCCAGGAGGTTTGCATAATGTAGTTAGGGATTGTAGAGGTAACAGCTTGCACAAGAGTGTTTCTACCTGCAAAAGAGAGGTTTCTTCTTTTTCATCCACTCTATTTCTTTTGGATATTTTCGATCACTGAATTAGAATGTTCCTTACTTACTCTCTTATGAATGATGGGGATACCTAAATACTTCCCTATGTCATCTGTGCATGTGATACCACTTTTTCTCCCTAGGTGCAAAGCATGACTCCTACTAATATTAGGGAAAAAGTAGACTCTGGATTTGGACATGCTTATTTTTTGACCTGTGATAGAGCAGAAATTATTCAATACCTCTTTAACCATGTCACAATCCCTTTCAAAGGCCCTAGAGAAGAGGATAATATCATCAGCAAAGAGGAGATGAGTAATAACTTGAAGTTTTCAATGTCCTTATTTAAAGCATTAGATCTAGATTTCTTTTGATATATATATATATATATATATATATATATATATAAAAATTAGTATAGATCATTTATCATATATCAATAAGAGACCAACACCCATTTAAAATCATGATAGTAATCTAATACGATTAAATTGAGATAAAAGGGATTGGATCGATAAATTAAGCGAATTGTAAACTTTTTTTGACACAGAGGAAGAAAAGGAACCAGAAATGCAGATTGGGCACCCCACGGATGTGAAGCACGTGGCTCACATTGGACGGGACGGACCATCCGTAGATTCACCAAGCTGGGTAATTCAAAATTTTTTTTTTTTCCTTGAGATTTTGCTTAGGCTTAAGAACAGTTTCCCTTGGGTTTGACTGTACAATGGCGTAAGAGTAGGCTCCTCCAGTGAGATGATCATACTATTTATGATCTGGTTTAGAACGAAGGGTTATGTTTTGAATCATGGATTATTTGTTCACGGACGTCATGTAAATATGAAGACGTTAAACACAAGTAATTGAAAAAATCGGGTTAAAGTTGACTATTAATTCGAATGCGGCAATATGAAATTGACCGAACAAAAATAAATCATAATTTAATTTTTGAATTAGAAACTCGGGACTTATATGGATCGTGTTTCAACTTGTGCAGATGCAGGAGTTCAAATCACCAGCAGGATCTCAATCAGCACCATTAGGTGCCCCTACAGATTCTCAAGGAAACCCGGAAATCAAATGGGTTTCTGAAGGTCTGTTTGCATTTTCTCTTCCATTGATTGCAAAATCTCCAAAAGAATATGGGTAAAATATAGTTTGTCCCCAAAGTATGTGTGTAGTATCAATTTGGTTCCCAATTTTTTAATTTTATTTATTTAATCCCTAAGATTTTTAATTTATATTTATGGGGTCCAATTTCAAACGGCCGTAAAAAAATCGTTAACTTCTCTGGTTACGCGTCAATCATGTGAGATCAAATATACACAAATTATGAACTTTAAGGATCAAATATACACAAAATTAAGAATCACGTGATTAGCGCGTGATCAAGACTGCCACAATTTTCTAACAGATATTTGAGATTAAACCACATAGACACAAATTAAGAATCTTAAGGACCAAATACACACAATTGAAAGAATACGGACCAAATAGACACTAAATGTATTTTTGGGGACTAAAAGTATATTTTACTCAAAGAATAAACCCCAACATCAATGTTCAAATCAACAGTACACACCGCCGGGGGTGGTACAATGGGATACCAATTGAACTTCTCATCCTGAAGTTTGAGATTTAAGTATTTGAGGTCACATTAAATATCGGTAGTTGACCGCTATATTAGTCTAGTTAATTTTATTTCTGAAATAAATAACGGATACGGTTGGAAACCACAATCTCTAACGAGAGTCCATTAGGATGGTTCACCCCTTTGTCCCTGTAGCAAAAAAAAAATGAGTAGTACACTAAATACTTATCTTCTTTTTTCTATTTTCTTCTTCATATGATTCACAGATTCTAGCAGAAGGGGTAGAAGAACTAAAAATTCTCCAGCCAGAGACCTACCAGAATTGCCAAAATCATCAAGACGCCATTCTTCCACAGACAATTCATCAACTACTGAATCCTCATCCACCAAATCAAGGCAGTCACGGCGACACCAATCAACGGACTCATCGGAGACCATTAAAACAACAGGGGTACCCCTTGAGGCGAACCTTGAACCCGAATCACCATCGAGACACTTGCCGGACATTCCAAAAAAGTCACGACGAAAGAAGTCCAAGGAATCTAACAGTGGTGGGTCATCGAGATCAAGAAGGTCCAAAGGCACCACATCTTGTACTTATACATCTCAATTGTCAGATCCTGGACCTGAAATTGGAACTATAGTAAGATCTAATAGCGATGAGACAAGAGGATCCAGAGAAGGCAAGTAGTGGGATTTCTTGAAATACTCTTAGTAGTGTCTATTTGTACTAGTAACATTGATAGCTAGATAGAGACTTGTTTAGTTGGAACAAAAATATATATATTTCCTTTGATTTCGTGAAATTTTATATAATCTACCAAAGATGCATTGTAATTACTAAAATGAATGCCACTTCATATGCAATTGACATGACCATTTGCTCTATTCTCAACTCCCTTATTTGAGTACCAATCTTGCAAATGGCTATACTTGCCATTATGTGAAACACCGTACCTACATTGTACAATATGCAAGTTCGATTTCCTCCCCACGCACCCCGAATTATGTAAGCATTTTGTTTTCTTGTGGCAAAATAAATAAAATGAAAGAATAGGAGTAGAACACTTTCTGCATCTTTTAGACCATGATGAAGCACTCTCGCTCTAACAATTGGGCATCATAATATATGCACTAAAACCAATAAAACTTCTTTAAAAAAAAAACCATGACAATGAAGTTAGCATCAACTATATGCACTTGTCATCGAAGGAAACTGTAATGACATATGTTCCATTGCACCTACATAGACTACAAGTCCAAAGATACTATCTAATAGGTCAGCAGTATAATGTGTTTCTCTCAACCTAATCTCTCTTCTAATGACCTTCTAATTTGTGCACCTTAAGATAAAAGAAACAAAAACCCAACAAAAATCAGCATATAAGAGTCATGTAGAACTGAGAAACCACTACTAAGTAGGACAAAATGGGGAATAACTGGTTTGTTGCACAACTTCAATTGCCCCAAACTGCCACTAACTTTAGCAGACCTTAACCCTTCATCAGCACAAAGTTCTGGGTTACCCTCCAACTTTAACTTTCCTCCAACTTTGGAGACAAACTTGGCAGAAAATGGGACTCTCCCACTCAAATTGTTGTTCTCCAAATTCAACTCATTCACAGACTCCAATGCCCCAAACTCCTCAGGTACCATCCCCTCCAGCTTGTTATTGTCAAGCCCCAAATAACTAAGGTTTCTCAGAAACATCCCCATTGAAGAAGGAATATTGCCAACAAGTCCCACCTCAGACAAGCCAATTCCCAGAATACCCCCGAGGTTGTCCCAAATTTCCGGAATCTGCCCTCCCAATAAATTGCCACTCAAATACACTTCTCTCAAACTGGGCATCTCTGCTAAAAATAAAGGCACTCCGCATTGCGCAAAGCCATTGTAACTCAAATCTAGAAACTCCAGTTTCTTCAAACCCTTTAAATTTTCTGGGATTTTCCCTGAAAAGTTGTTGAAGCTTAGGTCAAGCTTCAAGAGCTGTTGTAAGCTTCCAAGGGGTTCTGGGGCACTCCCTTCAAACCCATTTTGGCTAAGATCAAGAATCTTCAATTTCTTCAACTTCTCTAAACTTAGTGTAACCTCACCATGGAAATTGTTTCTTGAAAGAGACAGCTGTTCAAGGTTGACCAAATCACCTAACCCATCTGGGATTTCCCCAGAAACATTGTTTCCTGTCAGAATTAACCTTTTTAGAGCCGTCAAATTACTGATATTGCCGCGGAGGGACCCAACTAGAGATGGGTTCCCAATGAAAACCAGCTCTTCTAAAGAAGATCTGAGAGTCGAGAAATCTGGGAAAGTAACGGTTGTCTCGGTGAAGCATTTGTAGAACAAGAGTTTGCGGAGCTGTGGGAAAGAAGAAAAAAGAAGAGGGTTGATGGTGGATTTGGGTGTGCACGGTGGGTTCGGAGAGTAGTCCGATACATAACCGACACTCATCTCCGTGACGTGTGGAGTTCCAATGGTGGCGGTGGTGTTTTCAGAGAAATAGTCGCAGACAACGCCGTGTGGGGCGGAGATACAGAGATCATCGGGGTAGAGAGATCGCCATGGGATAGCTGAGTTGATGGACTCGAGAATTTGGTAGACCGATTCTTGCTCGGCCGAGTTGAGTGCTGGTTGTGAAATGACGAGAGTGGAGGTGGACAGAAGGGTTAAGAGTAAGAAGAAGGAGGTAAGAGACAGAGTAGAAGTTGACCTAGAGAGAGCCATTGGAGGCAGTCCTGGAGAGGTTTGGAGAGGGTTATCCAGATGGAGGTCAAGAGGGTTTTGAAGAAGCTGAGATGTGTGAGCTTGCGTGTTTGTGTGTCTGAGACTCAGAGAGAGAGAGAGAGAGATTGAAGCATGTGAAGACTCTGTGAAGAGCGGCTGAGGGAATGTTATGGGTAGGGAGAGGATGAGACTAAGAGCATGTTTGGCTTTAACAGTGATAGAGACGATCAGAGGACAAAAGTACTGCAGAGATTTGCTTTACTGCAACCCTCACAAGTGAAATGACCATTATGACCTTGTCATTGTCTATTGTTATTCCATGCTGCGTTAATGTTTTTCGGGATAATAAATTTTTTTTGTAATGTTAAATAGTTGGAAAAATAATATTTGAATCTTATTTCTAGACTTAAACTAAGAGCCTAATTAATTGCAGCCGTTTGATTGAACGTGGATTCAAACCAATTTTGAAATTCACAATTAATTTAATGACTTCAATGAATTAGATCTCTAAAATATCGCTATTAGTTCACAATTTTATCTAATTAGACCACGTGTGTCAATCGAATTTGATATTAGAAAAAATTATCGATAAATATTACTTTTTATCACAAAAATTTACTAAGTCTTATCATTATTGTTTTATATCAATGAAGTCTTATTCTTGATATTTTATTTCAATTAAATCCTAAATTTCATTATATTCTAATTCTATTCTTACCCTTTAATTACTAAAACCATTTCATTATTTTGTATTCTTAAAACCAATTAAGTGAACAAAAAAATCCTTACTTACAAAATTAACATCGAAACTCTATAAAAAAAATCAACTAACATAAACTTCATGATTAGACCCAAAAAAAAGCTCACATTTTCTTTTTTTTTTTATCTTGTTAGGGTACATAATCTTAAAAATGAGACAATATTTACCAATTCCTTAATAAATAAGAAAGGCTAAAAAAAGTATACCAATAATTCTATTTTAATGTCGATATCGATTCAAACACAACAACTAAATATAAATACCTACCTTAATCATTTTAAATTCAATATAAACTAATAGAATATGATTTTGGTAAGAATTAGCTTAAATTAATATTGGTGTAGAATCTACAATATTCTATTAATTGATATTAAGGATGCAAAAAGAATAAAAGAATTTTGATAATTAAAAGGTAAGGATAAAATTAGAATATAATGAAATTAAGACTTAATTGAAATAAAATATTAAAAATAGGACTTCATTGACATAAAACAAAAATGATTGGACTTCATAAATATTTATAGAAAAAAAATACTTATTAATAATTTTTCCTTCATATTATTCTAAAAACAATGGGTGCATCTAAGAATTGAATCATCCGTTTCAAGTTTTAAACTAATTTAGAGGAATTGCATTCCACTGGTAAGAGGAATATACCAATATAATTTTTCAAGTGTGGGTTAGGGGGCCAGTGTCTCTGTCGACTCACCCAAGGTTCATCCATTCTGGTCAAAAACCCTCATGTGATGCTAGTCTTTTGAATGCATTCAATTCAAGAGGCTTAGTGGATGCTTATCATAGCTGTTACACTAAAAAATATGGTGATGTGGAGTTTACATGCTACTACTATGTTGTTTATTGTCATCCAGTAATTGGTCTATTAAGTAAGAATTTGAATTTTTTTACTTAATATTCGGTTCGGGTGTCCACAATTACAACAATTCAATTGGACTAACCTACTATTCAACGCCTAGGGAATACTGTGTGACCACCTTGGTTTCAACTCCGATGTAAGTGTGGTGAGGCTTCCTTTAGGATAGCTATGTGATACAAAAATACAATGCTATCTTTTGTGAATATATAGAGTTGTATATATTTTGCGCACCGAAAAAAAAGGTGTTGAATTGTTTTTTTAAACATTCGGACTTTATTTTTTTTAATATTCAAACTTTACCCACCATGTTAGTAACCTTTTTCTAGTCCATTTTAAGGTAAATGTGTGGAACTACATATTATTTGCTTTTGTCATGGTTTATTATACACGATAATTTTGCACATTGTACAAATTTTACATATATAAAAAAAAAAAAAACACATAGAAGGTCAAACCCGACATTTGAGATGGGACCGTACAGTTACGGATTTGGCATGAAGAAATAGCTAATGTCGGAATCGATATGCCAATGATCAGTCCAAGTCCAACAGAGGAGCCACCGAGGTAAATCACACTTAAACTCTTGAAATTTGTTACTTAATCAAATAATTCTGCCCCCAACTTTTGACAAATTATACTACAACCTCCTATTAATAACAGAAGACAAATGGACCTAACGGGTGTTATAAAATGTCCATTTTACCCTTTTTAACAAACCAAATAAAATAAACCCAACTATCAGCCACCCGATATTAAAACCCAATTTTGATAAAAATATCTCTCCCACCCCTTTTATCGCTCCACTTTCACCGTCTCCCCCTCTTCTTCCTCTGTTTCTTTATAGCCCATTCCACATCTCAGCTTCCATCCCAATTCCTCATCCCCCAACTTTGCTACAGCCCACCCCCTTCTCCCTTAAGCCCGAATGAGAGCCCCAACCCATGACGAAGGGATTTTGGGATCTATGTTTGGGTTTGGGTGTAGCAGAGAGAGAGGAGGAAAAACCACACATGTGATGGTGTTGGCGTTGGTTGTGGCTTTGGTCTGGCGAGGCTGTGGTAGAAAGAGAGAATGGATTTGGCGGTGGCGGTGGCGGTGGCGGTGGCGATGGCTGTGGCTTTGGTATGAGAGAGTTGAAGGCAGAGTAAAAAAGTGAGATGACAAGGGACATGGAAAGAGAGAGAGAGAGAGAGCTTATTTTATTGAAAGAATCAATTGTATTTAGGATTTAATTGATAATTAAAAATTATTAATTTTATAGATTTTTTATTGAAATGGTGATGGGGTAATTTGAAAATTTTATATAAAAGGAATGTTGATATCATCAAATATT